TATTGCGATTGGAGATTAAAAAAATTGAGATGGAATAACAAATCGTTCTCATGAAAATAACTGATTTTTTCATTAAAACAAAAAAATGTTGCATTTTATTAAATGGATTGTAACAATAAGTACAATTACGGCTTTTCTTCCACTATTTTTAACTCAGTTTGAAACTTCAAATGCGATATAATTTTGGCTTGGACCATCTAAGCTGACTGACATCAACTTGCTATAATTTCTGTTTACATTACATCGCAATTCGATGATACTCTGGCTCAGACACCTGAATGTTTTGACGATTCTTAGCATTCGTTTAGGATTTTCAAACAACCTGGTCTCTTTTAAAATACTTTTAATTTGTTCTTACGTGGTTTTCCAGATGTATAGTGACGACAACATTAAAGTTTAAAGAAGAAAATTCTAACATTTCAACCGAGTAAACAATAACATAGTAAACTTGCATAGTTAAACAGCAACTAAAAATGATAGGTTTTACTAAATCTTTTCCTGTGCAATTATTACTAGCATTGGAGACAAGGATAATAGTTTGTTTGAAAGAGAAAAGAACAGGCTTTGAAGTAAGCCTAAAAGCGTTTAACTAGAAATAATATTTCGTAAGTTATTAAGCACAAAAGATGAATTGCGTTTATTTTGATACACCCTGTAGTATCTGAAACTTGGCCGAATGATGAAACTTCTGATTTAGTAAATTTTTCAGGTTATAATTTCATTTCAAATCATCGCATAAATAAAGTAGGTGGCGGAGTTGGACTTTATCTACAAAATCATTTTCAATACAAATTGATTCAAGAATGCACAATTTCTGATCCTGAAGTAATTGAGTCTTTGTTCCTTGAACTTGCTAACCCTACCTAATGGGAAAAACATTATTGTTGGTACTATACTGTACAGGGTGTACCAAAAAAAGGAGACCTTTAGAAATCAAGCATATTATTAAAATTTGAATGCCTTTTCAATTGCACATATGCTGAACCGTGGTGCGTGAAATATTGATGGAGTGCATATATTAGAAAAAGGAGACCTTTAGAAATCAACCATTGTTATAATTTGAATCCTGGAGCACTTTGCTAAGCCCACGAGTGCGTAACATGCAATCTACGTACAGTATGCATGACAGATTGTTCCCAGGAGCAGACAATCTTTTGTTTAAACGTTATTTCAATTTCTAAAGGTCTCCTTTTTCTAATATACTGTATGCACCCCATCAATATTTCACGCACTACGGTTCAGCATATGTGCAACTGAAAAGGCATTCAAATTTTAACAACATGCTTGATTTCTAAAGGTCTCCTTTTTTTATACACCCTGTATTATAATACCGTTCGCCTAATCAAAATTTAACTCACTTTATGCATGGAGGAATTCAACAAAATTCTTTCCTTTATTTCCAAAGATAACAAAAAATGTATATTATGGGCGATTTCAATTTGGATTTATTCATTACGATCAGCATGCTTTCACTCAAGAATTCATGGATTCATTGTTCTCCTACATGTTTATTCCTCTTATAAATAAACCTACGCGATTAACTTCACACTCGGCTACACTGATTGTAATATATTCACAAATTGCCCTTCACAAAACACGGTGAATGGAATTATTCTTAATGATATGTCGGATCATTTACCTATATTTGCTTTCTTTAGTTCTGAATTAGTACCACATAAAAAAGAAGCTAAGTCCTATAGAGACTATAGCGAACAAAATCTAATCAAATTCCGAACTAGTTTGTCTCTAGTGGATTGGACCAGTGTTGTTGTGGGTCAAGACCCTAATAAACTATTTGAGTCTTTCTCCGTAGAATACAATAAGGATTTTGAGGATTGCTTTCCCTTAAAAATAAGTAAACACTCTTCCAGAAAGCCGAAAACGCCCTGGATTACTAAAGGTTTATTGGTTTCCGTTGGAAATTAATAAACGAGGTTATAAATACTAAAAGCAAGAAGTCACCTTACCATCGTCATTTAAATCAAATGGTACATTGATCACTGACCCTCTTGAAATTGCAAATGGCTTTTTAAAATATTTTTTACAAACATTGGCTCATCTTTGGCAAGCAGGATTCTCCCAACAAATTGTGTATTTTGAAATTTTCTTGGACCAAATATGAGTGAAACAATATTCCTTAAACCTACTACTGAACATGAGCTAAAAATTATCGCTATGTCATTTAAAGGTGGGAAAGCACCTGGTTATGATCATATACCTATGCATCTTCTAAAAATTTCGTTTGATATTATTTCGAAACCATTAATGCGTGTAATTAATATATCCCTTGAAAAAGGGATATTTCCAAATAACCTTAAAACGGCAAATTCTTCTTTTTAAAGCATGGTGATGTGATATATTTACGAACTACAGACCTATCTCGATCCAGTCAAGTTTCTTTAAAATTTATGAAAAGATTATGTATAATCGTTTGTTTGATTTTATAGAAAGATTTGAAATTTTGTATTCTTTTCAGTTTGGTTTTCGTACCAAACATTCAACTAATCATGCCCTCACACATTTAGTAAATAAAATAGCAACTGAAATTGATCAAAACAAAATTTCTATTGGTGTATTTCTAGACTTGTCGAAAGCGTCTGATACACTACAAATTGACTCGATACAACAATATTACTTCTAGTCAGGGGCGCCGGAAGCAATATGAAGCGGCGGGGGCAGCCATTTCAAAAGGGCACTTCATTTTTCTGGGCAGCAATATTTGTTCTGAAAACGTCACTGTATGGATACTCGACTACTTGTGGCTATTATGTGTCGGCATACTTCGACATTAATTTTGAACAATTTTATTCGTTGCACCGTGCTAAGGGCGCAAAATAAAATCAGTAAACGAACGTATATTGCTTGATTTGGCATTAATTTTACTTACAAGAGATTAAAAATGAAGCAAAGATTGCTTAAAGATGCTGTACAGTCCGATCTCCAGAAAGGATCGGGCTCACTTATTATACAAACAGATTATTTACGTTTTTGTTTCATTTTATGTTCTTGCAAAGCTTGGTTGTTGTGTCTTGATAATTTATCATGCTCTAGAATCATGAAAATATAAATAGTTTTCGAATAAAATTCTATATTTTGGAAATCGAAATGTAAACAAAGCCTTTGTTGACTGTACCGTAATGCACAAATTTCGAGGTGCAGTTCTGGCAAAAAGGGCAACCTGTTGCCCCCAGCGGTGCCCCCGCAATGTTTGGGCAACGGGGGCAGTTGCCCCCACTGCCCCCGTGGCTCCGGCGCCCCAGCTTCTAGTCAGTTAATCACCCACTGTGGTGTGCCCCAAGGTTCAATTTTAGGCCCTCTCCTTTTTATTTTATATATAAATGACGTTCCGAATGCCTCCAGTATAGTTGAACCTTTGCTATTTGCGGATGATACTAACATCTGTTACTCTCACTCTGACCCTGTGGTACTAGCTGAAGAGTTAAACGAAGCATTGCAAAGCATCGGTTCTTGGATGAGAGCAAATAAACTCTCTGTTAACATTGACAAAACAGACTATGTTATTTTCCACTCCAGGCATAAGAAAGACTCTTATGATATATTTCTCTCTTTCGATGACAAGTGTATTACTCGTAAACCAAAGGTTAAGTTTCTGGGGGGTTTTCTGGATGAGAATCTCACTTGGAAGCCTCACATTAGTCATGTCTGTAAAAAGGTTTCTAAGTCTATCGGCATAATTTGTCGAGCTCGTTTTTACTTGTTAGCTAGCTAGTACTAAATTGTCATTGTATTACACGTTAATCTACCCATACCTTACCTATTGTAACACTGTATTTCCAAGGGCGCAAGGCCTTCCAAAAGATAATCAAAAAAATTGGAGCTAAAGCACGAACAGCAGATGCTATCAAAGCAGACGGTACCATTAGTAGATACAGTAGACCAGTATATGGAACAAATGGAAGTTTGATATACAATAAAGTACTTTATATACACGCGGGAAAAATTAAACTACTGCTACTAAGCGACGAATAACAAAAACTGTGAAAGCCAACCGTCAAAATATGTAGAACGATGAATAATTCAGGATTGCAACGCGAATACGCCGGTTGAACTCGAAATGAGCGTTGCACCAATAAAATAAAAATTTTCTTTATGTTTGCGTGATCAGTTCAGCAGTGATATCAAACGTAAAATCAAACTAATCAAGAGTTAACGCTGTCTGTTATCTTATATGACTCAGACGAGGACTATAAAACAATCCACGAATCACGATAAATGTATCAAATGACGAGTTTCCAACTCAAAGAATATATCCACAGAACAAATAAAAATAATTTAATTCCAAATAGATATAAATTTGATGTTTGTAAGGTTACTCTGAGTGTATATCCACACCGGGCAAGCTTGAAAAATATGCCTGGCCACGGTGGGAATCGAACCTACGACCTTTGAAATACTAGCCCTAGCATAATAAAAAAATGTTTGTGCCCAATTGTGGTAATATTTGGGGCGCTGGCCCGCACTTTTGTTATTGGGGTACTTGTGCACCTACACAGCTTCCCACTCCCACGTCACTGTAGGGCAAGAAGAATGCTTCTTTACATGGAGAGAACTACAGTTTATCATTGAACTTGAACTCGATTGACTCATACCTAGTTACGGGCCTGACTGTAAGCAACAATTGGAAATATCGCCTAGTCAGTGGAAACAATTTTTCGCTCCGGGATTTCAGATAAACCAGGGTGTCGTTCACTGATCGAATTTCTTGACTGCAGTAGACACAAAACATTTGGGCAACAAAAGGCATATGCATATCGTTTTACATGTGAACATATACTTCCTAATATAACTCTTCCTAATATGACTAAAAATTCGTTTTTGCACTTTGCATGTTAAAAATATAGTTTAGGGACCGGAGAAATATTGTGACTAATGTAAGCTATTTTGATCAAGATTCATCGCGAGCGTTAGGTGACTTTGGCACTTATCTTTGGTATCATTATTATTGCACGATTAGTTTAATTTTAAAAATTTGAACTTACAAGCCAAATGATATAACTAGCAGAAAAGGATCCAATTCGTGCCATTGCCGATGATGTAGCAAGAGAAGTTGATCTGTAGTATAAAAAAAGAAAAATGTCTAGAAATAATTAGTCAGAATAAAATGAGACCAGGACAGTTCCGGCACCGACACTACGACATAGTCTGTGGCAAATGGGCGACTTTTGCACTCAGACGTGTCTCCAGTGACGCAGGCTAGATACCCTCACTCATTCTAGTTAGCTCGGGCAGTATAGAACATAATTTAGATCCATAACTATTTACCTTATTGCAGTTGGAAACATCTCAATGCACCACACATAGACAGCAGAGAAGGCGATAGTAATGAAAAATTTTGCAATGATAGCTGCTGTAACCTGTCCACTAACACTAGCTGCAAAAGAAATCCTAACTAAGTAATCCGGTCCGGTTTATTTTGAGTTGTGTGGAGACTAGATTCACCACAAGCTTGCTCCCGCGTTCTGTTCACGCACGACAACATTGTATTCCTCAGCAGTGAAATTTAGCGATAAAAAAGTATTTTACTAGCCAATTTGTTCAAGTATATGGGTGATAAAAAATGCGTTGTGTTTAGGGGTATATATTAACATATATTAAGGGCGATATATTAACAGAACGAGTGGCGGCGTAGTTTAATGCCGGAATCCTCGCGCACACCCTGCGCAAACTCACTATACCCCCTCAATGCTTTCATGTCGCAAGTGACACTTTGCATGAAGCTTGTTCTAATATCGTCATAATTGTGTTTAACACGTACTGAACAATCGCATTCAGTTAAATTAAATTAATATTGCCTTTTCCGAAAGACTGGCCTGTTTAAATGTGCCTTACAAAGTAGGATTTCACATGAGGAAATGTCTTTTCGCGTGTGGAATATTCCAATTCATGCATGCCTAATTTCATGCGTGCATTTAAAAAAAAATCTTAAATGAATATCCTCAGATTTTTTCGTAAGAATAGATATAGTTTCTACCGGTGCAAACACTTACCCAAACTTTTGTTTGTCGGAATTGCCACTGAGATGACAGATGCAAAGAACGCAATAATCATAGCAATAATGACAGACTTCTTACGACCAAATCTAAGATATAAATAATTGTGATCGGCTGTTGCAAATTGTGACTGTTAACGGTTAACATATATAAGGATCTATGCAAAATGCAACGTTCAATTTTTCACCGTACGTCCGCTGGAAAAAGCGAGCCTGCGCTATTGGGAGAAAACGTGCTGAAAGCGTGGAAGGTCGGATAACGCTTTCTATCAGATAATGATTTCTTCTTGGGACCGGTCTGAAATTCGTCCTTTTTCGCCTGTTTACACGCGAATTGGCCTGTTAGGGGGTCTCAAATTCGTCCGGTTCCGTAGTTCTCGTGTGTTTACACAGCCGAAACGGACGAATTACAGACCGGTCCCAAATTCGTCCGGTCCGATGTAAACGGGGTCTAAGGCAAGTATCTAACCGGAATTTAGCCAACAGTAGGATTGGAGTTACCGGACCTATAGAGCGTTTGCACTCATTCCCCAGGGACCAACTCAACAAGAAGCATGGCGGCCATGTTGGTGTTCCAGACAAAAGAGTGTAATTAAAATTATTTTGATTTTGAACACCAACATCGCGGCTGTGACGTCATGTGCAAACGCTCTATTTCACAGAAGATTAAGATGAAAGCACAAACAACGTCTGTGGTATTGTTTACGTCCGCTTCATCTCGAGCTGTGCACCTCATCCTCCTTCCAGATATCACAGCACAAGAGCTAAACGGAAATTTGAACATAATCGTTAGTGACAACGGGAAAAGTTTGCTGCCACAACAAAATGGTCTGGAGCACAGTTATGTGGTACATTTCACGTGGAGCGAGGTAATCGTTCACTGGCAGTTTAATCTTAGAAAAATTTAATTCACACTGCACAGTAGCGGTTTGAAAACGGCCCAGAAACGTAAAAATTCACGATCGCGTTCACACAACCCTGGAGCGAAATTGTTTGAAAACGTAATTTGGGCCGTAGCAATTTGAGCACGTCTTCTACACGGGGAGAGGTGGAAACGGAGCGCTTTGCGGCTTCGTATGAACAGCGGTTGTGTCCTTATTCTACTCCACTTTAGTATCCAGGTAATAGATATTTTATATACACTAGATAACACATCTCTTTTAGTAAAATTGAAGCCAAGAATATTCCAGCGGTTACCCCCATTTGAATAGATGGTGGCCATGTTAAAGTTTCCCACTCGCTAATAAACGCTTAAACAACAACAATAACTTTCATCATTTGAATAGTTTAAAAATGCATTTGGAATAGGTTTAACTTAATTAATGTTTACGTTCCCTGTTTAAGAAATAGAAATGATCGATCCTTGAATGAGATATAAAGCTAAAGGGATGGTTTTGCAAACTACTGTAGGTACCTAAAACGGTACAAGTACATGATGTGGATATGACGGTCATCATTGTACACTACTACATGAAAGGCATGGTCAATTGACTGGCAACGATCCAGAGAAAAACGTTGGTGATGTAGCTTCTACAAGCTGAAGAGGAGAACAGAGGACCTTTGAAATTAGAATTTAATCAGGAGAAAAGAGGGAATGACTTGAGACGACGTATTAGCCCATTAATGGAAGAAAGGACGAGCACTACGACATCTTTTTCCGTTGAGTTGTTGCTATTTCGTAGCGTTTCAGTTAAGAAGGGCAAAGAATGGAAACCTTGGATGTTCCAAGCCGACGCCGGCCCAATGAGCACATTGTGCAAAGTTGTATAGAGTTTTAAAAATATTATATGTTGTTTTGATCTGATAAAAATACGAAATGGTGTGGATATAAAAGTACTAATTTGACGATGCAGATTTCCAGTCAGAATAGGTTAAACCCTACCCTGGGTTCAGAGGTTTTCTGGAGGCGACGAGGCGGAGAAAACCTCTGGGCGCGACCTGTCGAATTTCATTTCCATGACGTAATTTATTAATGTTTCACACTTCCGGTCTGAAGGGTGTAGTCCAGTACGTATTCAAAAGTATTCAACAAAAACATATTCCCCTGACCAATTTTGTTGTGTTTGCCAATTTTACATTAATTGTTGTATTCGGAAGACGAAAATGTAATATTTTCTCTGGGAAGATTTCCAATGAACTGGCGCATCGGCTGTCTATTTTGGACACAACGTGTCCCCAAATTTATACTGATGACCAATTGACAATCGGCAAATCTGTCTATTCTAAGCAGTTTCAAGTTACAAATTAAAATACAAGCAGCAATCGAGTACATATTTAATACTTGCATGTGAAATATAAAGTAATGACAGTTACTGAATTATTAATTTCAGGTTTGATGATACAGAACGTTCTATATCTGTTTAGGACTTTACATTGTGTATATGTACATATAAAATATATAATATAATTATTTAGCCCAAATGCCTTGCCACGACTGAATTTTTGTTCATAAATATTCATGAATTCCACAATACGGGCTACACAATTTTAAAACAACAAACTACATGAAAAACAATTGAACATACACAATACAGCATACAGTACAGGATGTACAGCACAACACGACCACATACACACGACAAAATTCCGCTCAATTTATACTCGACATCATCATAGCGTGATATTTTAAATATGTCTGCAATGACGCTATTTGATCTAACTGTTTAGGAATAACATGAACTTCATCTGAGACGACAACCAACAAATTATCCTCATAAACGTTTCCACGAACAATCGCTTTTTGTTAACGAAATGCACTCACTTGTTGAACAGTATAAATAGAATACGTTTATTGATGTTTGCCGATAAGGCCCGATAAACCAATCAGATGTCTAGGGTCAAAATCTGACCCTAGGCATCTGATTGGTTCGGCGAAATCAATCAATCAACACATCGCGCCCAAGGGGTTTCCAATTTGGCCAGCACTGTCTGAGTGCAGGCTACAGCTTCAGCAAAACAGGAAACCCCCTGATCCAGGGTAGTTAAACCCTAAATTGACACTGCAAATGAAAGCGCCTTTAGATCACCATTGCACTCACCTGTTTGCTGACCAAATACAAGCAAAATTGGCAGGTATTTCAACGACACTGACAAGAAAAACATTCAGATATCTATTTCCACCAATATCAACAGAACCATAAGACACACCATAGTATACTAGGGAGTTAGCAAACCTATCGATAAAACACCGCAAAATTTAATAATAATTTCTTAATATTATTTTTTATTAAAATCAGAGAAATATGATGGGAAATCGTGAAATTTAAACCATATTGTTATTTATTATATAAACATTTTATTTTATTTGACAGATTTTGCCATTTAACACAAACTATTACACAAAATTAGTATACACAATAGATCACATGGCTGGAAATACCACACAGAGATTAGTTCTCCAATAACGGGGTTCCAAGACATTCGAAATACACAGTATGAACAATAACAGGCTTGCAGACCGACAAACAAACAAACAGACAGACAGACAGACGGACAGACCGACGGACGGACGGACGGACGGACGGACGGACGGACGGACGGACGGACGGACGGACCGACAGACAGACTTCGTGTTTCTCGAGTAGGAATCTTGATATAAATATTACTGTCAGAGTTGGAAATGATGCACTTGTAGAGATATACTAGATCTAAATACTCGTGCCAGTAACATATAGGGATGATGCCGATGGTGGTCAGTCTTTCGTGGTATGATATATCGGTTTGGTACCCGGCAATGACAAAATAACTTTGGTGGCACGTCGCGGCACACGTTCAATGGTCAATAAGCCAGCTGACTACGAACCATAGTCAAATAAAGTACCTTACGAACTCTACGCTGGCGAATGTCGATATATAGAGTTTTTGGCCACTGAGAAAGATCGTATTTAAACACACGTAAAAAATACGATAATTTTACGTGTGAAAATATAATTTTTGCAAGCCAATCAAAAAGCGCGTAGGAAATATGTTTGACCAATTAGAGAACTTGTTGTAAAACGCATTGCTACGGATGTTTTATTGTTTTTCAATTATCGTTTTTCAATTATCGCTTTTCTGTAGAAATTATCGCTTTTCATAACTGTCCTTTATATAATAAACATAAAAATATATGGATGTTTGGAAATACCAGATTTATTTCTCGTGTCGCTGCGCTCACTCGTGAGATATCATGTTCAACACTCGAATTCTCGAAATAAATCTGGTATTTCCGCGCACCCATGTATTATTCTCTATATATTCGTTTTTTCAATACGCGAGTTCGGAATCGTTACAAGTTATAAAGTTATTTAAACTACGGTTCTAATATTTTTTCTAGTGTTCCTTTCTTTTTCTTCTTCATTTGCTTCGTCCGTCTTGTGAAGTGTTGTTGTTGTTTGAGCTTTCGTAGCTTTTCACTCGTTTTACTCGGTCTACATCCACTGACTAGAGTCGGGCTGCGCAGCTTCTTTTATGCTTACGGTCGAGGCCAAGATAATTGAGAGCGGGATGATGTTGAACCAATTAGCGTTCAGGTGGAACAGGTGGGCAATTTGTCGACGCTGGCCAAAAATAGCGGCTCATTTCTTCTTGAGTTGCCATTTTCGCGTCGAAGAGCAAAAATATAGACTTTCGGAAAATATTTTAGCTGTTTACTATCAAATATGTTTGTGAAACAGTTGATAATCTCACTGAGGAAGACCAACAGTTTCTGAAAAGCTAAAGTACGTCGAAATCAGCGTTGGAATAGACTATATTTTCACCGGGGAAACATTGAACTAAATGGATATTTACATCAACACTAAATTTCGCTCGTGCCTACAGAGCTAGTTGGATTAAAACAGATGTTAATAAGTGAAAATGTGAATTTTGTGAATTATACTTTCATTAAAATGTTTCAGAAGGGCTGCTAATATCAAACTACACGTGTGACAGAGCTGTCAGTATACCCATATTTCCATGTTTATGTTGAAATGGCCCATCTTCTTTGAGGTATAGCTTAAAAATTAGGGTATGCTCATCACTTGAAACTAGCTTTAAATCATCAGTTTTATCTATAGTCTTTTTATTAGAATTGAAATCATTCATGGGAAAAATGTGCCAGAGGGTTGAAATTGCCCTTGTAAATGTACACTATTTTTGATATGTTTGGGTTAATATTTTGAAAAGGTGTTCTGGAAGGAAAATATGTCTTGAACAATACTGGTTGACCCTTAAATTATAACTAGTGTTATGTAAATCACAGAAAATTGAAAAAAGTCTGGTCCATACACAATAGTTTGGATTCTATGAGGTCCCGAATGTGGCTTATTTCAATGTTTATTTAAAATCTGTTTACCTGGAAAAACATAGAAAGTTGAATAAGTCAAGAATTTGAATAAGTCAGGTTTTTGTAATTGCTTTTTCACCTGGGTTTGTGGCAATACCAGTTATGTGACCACGAAAAATGCGTGCGGAACGTTTTTGGACACTGAAGATGACAACATTTAATGTTATCTATTGCCATCCTCTTATCATAGTATAACTTAACTTATTTTAGTGAGTTTGTTAAAGTATTGTGCTCACTATGTGCCTGTAGTATCTAAGTTTTTTTCATAGCATTAGATGATAAATTTAAGTTCTGTTTTCTTTTATCTTTAGGTGATAGTATCTGTTCACATGTGTGTTGGTATCAAATTTTGCACAAGATTAAATTATTATTTCACATTCCTTTATTGAAATATTCAAATAAATGGAATATGACATCAAGCTGGAGGACTAAATCCTGTTTCCAAACTTGTTTTTGTAAAAATAGAAAATAACAACTTATTACGTGTTGTTCTAATAAAAACTGTAAGTTGTTTGTGATATGCATATTAAATTTTTGAAATTACATTTCATTCTTTGTTAAAATGTGTACCATGAATACTGAAAACTTTCAGATAAGCTAACAATACCTTTGTAACTTATATAGCCAAGTGTTCTATCTATTTCTGTTCAGATTAAACAAATGATGGGTAAAATATTAGATTACATTTTTGCCAAGAAATGAGCTTGCCTGTTTTCAAAGCATAAAAAGTAATAAAATAAAGCAAAAGTACTTATTTTCAATTTAAAACCTTTGGAATGCATAGCTTAATGTTTTCCACTAAATATTACAAAGTTTTCGTTCATTAAAATTTTTTTATCAGCTTTAAAACCAGATAAATTCACGAAACACTCCTGATATATGTCGCCATATTAATTTTCTTCGCGCATGCTCACACAAATTGCTCACCTGTTTTCAGGTGGTGTTCTATCGAACCCTCGTCCCAGCTCTCTGTTTATTTAAGGAGTTGTCAAGTCAATTTTATGCTCGTTCAGACAATACTTAGAATTAATTTAACATTATCGTATAGGAGAATGCTCAAACTTTAAGCATGCATATAAACTTTTTTTTACGAATTAATCTAACTTTAAGGAGAACTTACCAAAATAAGCTTTTAATGACGTAATTTTATAATGACTTTCGTACTTTAAGTTAAATACAAAGTCTATTTATTTTATTGTGCACAATCAGGTATCCGAACAAATCTGACCACCTCATTATGTTCCTGATTGAACTTTGACAGTTTTAAGTATAATTTATCTAACCTGCCATACAGTACCTATAATGGAAAGGTATTAAAATAACATTTTGCGCAAGTTCGAAATTCTATTTACTTTATCCTCTCTTTGTAGCAAGGAATGTCCCTTATCTTTCTTTACGTGCGTAATGTTTACTTTGCCGGCCAGAGGCAGAGAACTAACATTTAATCTTTTTACATACTATACATTGTATAACTCCGTAAGGATATAGAGCGAGGTAGGAAGCATTAGGTTAATATAAAGAACAGGAACTCATAGGTAAATTTTTAAACTACCTTCGCAAGGAGGTTGTTATGTTTCCATTCGCGTCTTTAAGCGTTTGTGTGTTTGCCTATCACCACGATAACTCAAAAACTATCATAATAATACAAAAAGTTCTGGCAGTTAATGAACATTGCACATGCATGCACAGAATGGACATTGCACATGCATGCACTTGAGATCTAATACCTACCTTTTCTACGCTGTTTATCCTTTTTATGAATAATAATACGTAATTCAGCATCAATCCAAGGATGATCACTAGCTTTTCGATAACTTAACGTTGGTGATGTGTTGATAAACTGCTTGTTGAAACAAATCTACCCAATTAATCAGAGTTTCTCCCTTTTTCACGTCGGACGATGAAGCTCGGTTGTGGTCATCAGCGTAAGACTTTATTTTCTCTTTTCTTTCGCGATCATGTTGACGAACTGTTACTGGTATGTCATCAGCTGGTGTCGATGTTGGTGGCACGGGTATTTTATTTCTAATGTTACGGCCAAAAAGGAGAACTGCAGGTGGTTTCCCCGTTGTACAGTGGGGAGTTGAACGATAATTCAGTAGGAAAACATCAAGTTCTTCTTTCCAATTTTTCCCTTTGACGTTCGCTGCACGTATTGCTTTTTCTACAGTTCGATTAAAACGTTCTACTTCGGAGTTTGCCTGGGGCCAATAGGGTGTGACTTTACGGTGTACAATACCACAATTGGAAAGGTATGTACTAAACTCAGCGGAGGTGAATTGTGGTCCATTGTCAGTAACAATTTCGTGCGGGATTCCATGGGTTGCAAATGTGGTCTTCATGCATTTTATGATAGCTGTGGACGTAGTACTCTTCAAAACATGTACTTCTGAATGCCAACGGGAGCAGGTATCTACCATGACGAGAAGTCTTTCTCCACTGGGAAACGGTCCACACAGATCGGCATGTAGAGTTTGCCATGGCTGACTTGGCATAGTCGTCATGTGAAGGACTAGTGGACTAGTTTCAAAGTTCGTTCTCGGAGAGACGTTGGCATCAAGAAAATAATTGAAGAACTGGATCTTGGTTGGTAGCTTCTTTTATTGTACTAAGAGACAGGGCCTTGGGAGCTGCATTCTGAGCGACAAACTGGACATATTCTTCAGCCGTGTTGCGAGTATTGGTTGTTGCATTGGGAAGTGGCAAACGAGAAAGTACATCCGCAGGATTACCAATTCCAGGTGAATACTTAACGCAAAATGTATGCGGTTGCAGGCGAAGGCTCCACCGTTCAATGCGCGCAGGGGGTTTTGACGTCGGACTGTAGATTATTTCAAGAGGCTTGTGATCTGTATAGATGTCAAATGTTGTCCCATATAGATTGAGGTGGAACCGTTCACATCCCCAGACAACCGCCAAGGCCTCACGCTCAGTCTGAGAATAACGTCTCTCAACAGCTGTAAGAGTGCGACTTGAATAGGCTACTGGTCTGGTTTCGTCGCCATGAGTTTGGGTTAATATAGCCCCCAGGCCAAATGGACTGGCGTCAACACGAAGCTGAGTGGGGGCACTGGGATCAAAATGTACCATGACGGAATTGCTAGTAAGAGTTTTCTGCAAGATTCGAATGCATGTTGGTGGAGTTTGGTCCATGTAAATGGTGCACCTTTGTGTGTGAGCTGTCGAAGTGGGGCTGCTACGGTGGAGAAATTTGGGATAAACCGGCTGCAGTAGTTCACAAGACCCAAGAAACTTCTGACCTCTAAGGCATTGGATGGCTTTGGGGCATTTCGAATGGCAGTCACAGTTTCATCGGTGGGTCGTATACCATTTGCCGAAATGGTATACCCAAAAAATGTGACCTTAGAAACACTAAATTTGCATTTGTCTCTATTGAGAGGCAGACCACACTCTTGGAGTGTTGCTAAGACAGTGTTAAGGTTATGATCATGTTCCTGTTGGGTTTTCCCAAAAACAGTTATGTCATCTGAGATGTTTCGCATCCCAGGGCACCCTTGGAGAGATTGTTGAATCACATGTTGGTATATTTCTGATGCCGCAGAAACACCAAACATAAGGCGCTTGTAGCGATAGAGACCGGTGTGTGTAGCAAATGTTGTATAATGCCTTGATTGTTCGTCAAGTTCAATCTGATGGTACTCCCATCTTAAGTCGAGTTTTGAGAAGACACACGCACCAGTTAAATCCTGTAAAATCTCCTCTACGGTGGGAATTGGGTATCTTTCTCTGATCACTGCTGTGTTGACTCGACGCATATCTACACAGATACGGACCTCACCATTTGGCTTGGGCACTACAACCAAGGGGGACACCCATGGTGTTGGCCCAGTGACTGGCTCAATGATGTCTAAGCGCTATATCTAGTTTACTCGTCTAGTTTGGCTTCTACTTTGCGGCGAACATGAAATGGGACGCGGCGTGGTGCTTGGGCAATAGGATGAATTTTGGGATCAACATGGATGGTTTGTTAAAAATCTTTTAGTTTGCCCACACCTTCAAAGACTTTGGGAAATTTCGCAGAAATTTTTGAAGAAAGGTCTTCAGACTGTATGGAAACCGAGTTGGCAACATGCAGAAGGTCTAGTTCTGTAGCAGATTTATGACCCAAAAGGCACCCCGTTCCTTGGTTGTCGACTACTACAAACTGGGCAAGAATTTGCTTTCCATTGCGTTCAACTTTGACAGTTATTGTCCCCAAGATGTTCAATGGAATTGTTGAACCATATGTAAACAACCGAATGTTAGAGGGCATAATTTCAACTTTTCTAAGTGTACGTAACTTATAATATGTGTCAATATCCGCAATGTTTACGGTTGGACCAGAATCAATAACGACAGGCACTGACAACCCGTCAACATTAATGTTAGTGGTAGGTAAATTTAGAAATTGTTGTACACGAAAAATGCATTCATCATCATCTGAATAGGAGGTAACATTGTTTTGTTCACTCACCTGGAGAGCCTGATTACAGAGGCAAACCCGACATACAGAGGCAAAATGACCAACTTTGTTACAACTTCTACATGTTTTTCCATTTGCAGGGCATCGAACATCTTTTGCACGACGGCCTGTGTTGCCACAACAATAACAAGGCTGAGAACGCCATCTTGTAAACTCTTGTTTTGATTGATTGTATAGTGACGAATTACGAGCTCCTCGACTAGCTCCAGTATTAATGTGGCTTGGAGTTTCACGGCGAGAACCACCGGAGTTCTCTGTGTTGTACCTAGGTCGAATGGCATTGATGGAATCGCTGGGTTGCGTAGAGGGCTGTTCCATTTCTTGAGCTTGAAAATGAGACTGTTCAAATGCGCGGGAAATTGTCAATAGCTTCGAGAGGTCGATGTCAGGTTCGCGAAGTAAAGGACGGCGAAGTTCTTTTGAAACACATTTATCAATTGCTTGATCACGAATAGCTTCGTCTGTTTGTTCACCAAAAACACATGTTTTGCTCAAAGTACGTGATCGAGTGACAAATACGTCCATTGATTCGTCAGGCTGTTGGGAAGCTTGCCGAAAAACATGGCGCTCAAATGGAATATTTCTTTTCGGTTGAAAATACTCGTTAAGTTTCTCGAGGGCAGTCTTATAATCATCGCTAGTGTTAGGCAGGGTTTCAAAGATTTCTTGTACATCAGGGCCAGCAAGGTGTAGTGAAACAACACGTTTTTGTTTCTGATCAGTTACTCCAGACGCACGGAGATAATAATCGAGCGACTTTGTCCACTTTTCCCATCGTTGAGCAAGGGTTCTGTGATCCGATACAGAGAA